GAACACAAAATAAAACTTTGTACAGGAATAGCACACACCAACTTTACAAAATATACACGAGAATTTCTTTGTTATAAGTTTGTGTGCCAAAAACCAAAAAAAACACAATTTTACTCCAATATTTAGCAGAGGTTGGCGGTGAAATGGCTACGTAGAAAGTGTCAAAACAACCTTAGGTAAATAGCCCGTGATGTCTACTTTATATAAATATATACTTTTGTGTGGCAATTTTGTTTTCTTTTATGGCTATTAAGCTTACAAGACAAACATACCAAATTCTAAAATCGCTCCACATTACAAGTCTATTTTACTCCTTGTGCTTTGTGGCCTGTAACTACCAAAAAAACTTAAAATCCCAGACACATTATATATTCTGTAAATCAGAACAACTAAATTAATTTTTTTAATTACTTTTCTTAACCTGCACTAATTATGCACACATTATTATTGCAAAAACTGTTAAAAAAAAACACATTTTCATTTTTTTAAATTTTTCTGCATTTTTTTATAATAAATAAGCATTTATATATATGTGTGTTACATCAAATTAAAGCCATTTCTGTCCTTAAAAAAAGGATGTATAATATGTGTTGGTGCAACAAATTAGTAAAATGCAAATTGCAGTTGAAATCAAACAGCAAAAAATGAAAAAAATGCCATTGTCATTAAGTGAAAGACAAGCTTTTGAAGCTCTGTCCTTAAGGGGTTAAATATTCAGTGGTTTGTAACTACATAATGTTTACATGTTGCTCTTTATAGGAATACAAACTTATAATATTTTATTATCTAATCAGGCCTTCGGGGGTGGGCCCCTTCAAGGCCTGCAGCACTTGACAATTCCCCCACCTGCTGGCAGTACTTTAGCCTGTCACGCACACCTAGCTTATCATACATTTCAGTCACACATGTTTCTTCTCTCAAGAACACTCCTAACCCCACCAGCTAAGCTTTGTTGCAAGAATAACAATCTTCCAAAAAAGCAGAAGTTTAAAAGTCTTTCATCAAAGTCTATTAAAAAGGAAAATAGAGAAATTTTTAGAAAAGTAGATTAAAGGTTATACAATGGCAGTCAGCAGATCACTAGATGATACCATGTGACCAACTTTAATTAAAAACTTATGAAATACAGGGAAGGGGACTGGCACAGTTCCATCCATGATCAACTAAGGGGGACATAAACATGATTAATGTGGGTGGTTCATGTCCTCCCTATTCCCACGACATGGATTAAACAGGAGGGGGGATGACTACTGTTTCCCCCAGTCTACAACCAATGTAGAAAAACAAAATTTAAATGCAGATCAGGGACATGCTCATGTTTTTAGAAATAAATATTTTCTAGTCATTATATATGTGCAAATGTATAGAAGTTAATGCAGATATAACATTTAGAAGTGATACCACTCATGGGACCAGGGCCGGCGCTACCTGTTAGGCAGACTAGGCAGACGCAGGAGCAGGAGCGCCGGCCCCACTCATGCTGCAGCGGCTGCAGCTTTGCCCGGGTTGGTGTGTCCATGAGGGTGCACCGCCTGGGCGCAGCATGATGAGAGGGGCTAACAGGTGGGAAGTGCTCAGCGCTCAGCGCTCCCTCCTGTCACTCCCTCACTGTAGCATGGCTGAGCTCTGTATGGTCCGCGGGTACAGGGAGCATCTGTCTCCTGTACCCGGCCGGACTAACAGGAACACTCAGTGTGCACTTCCTGTTAGTCCGGCCGGGTGCAGGAAACAAAAGCTCCCTGTACCCGCGGACCATACAGAGCTCAGCCATGCTACAACAGTGGTGGGGGGGGGAGAAAGAATTTGGGAGGGGGGGAGAAAGAATTTGGGAGGGGGAGAAGGAAATTGGGGGGGGAAGAAAATTGGGGGGGAAGGAAATTGGGAGGGGGGAAGGAAATTGTGAGGAGGAGGGGGGGAGAAGGAAATTGTGGGGGGGAGAAGAGAATTTGGGGGGGGGAGAAGAGATTGACATCCATCCAGGGCCGGCGCTACTTGTAAGGCGGACTAGGCAGCCGCCTAGGGTGCCCCTTGGAAAGGGGGCACCGCCAGGAGCGCCGGCCCCCCCATGCTGCAGCCGCCCGAGCGCTCTGTAAAGAGCCTCAGGCGGCTGCAGCTTTGCCCGGGCGGTGCGTCCATGAGGGCGGACCACACCGCCCGGGAGCAGCATGGGGAGAGGGGCTGACAGGAGGGAAAGGCTCAGCGCTCCCTCCTGTCACTCCCTCTGTAGTAGCGTGGCTGAGCCCTGTATAGTCGGCGGGTACTCAGTGTGCACTTCCTGTTAGTCCGGCCGGGTACAGGAAACAAAAGCTCCCTGTACCCGCGGACTATACTGGGCTCGGCCACGCTACAACACAGGTAGGGGAGGAGGGGGAAGAAAGAGGGAGGGAGGGGAAAGAAAGAAACAGGGAGGGAGGGAGGGAGGGGAAGAAAGAAACAGGAGGGAGGGGAGGGGGGAAGAAAGAGGGAGGGAGGTGGAAGAAAGAGGGAGAGAGGGAGGGGGAGAAGGAAA